ATACTTTTCATTTTCTTTGAAAAAAAATCAAAGCAACTCCACCACTACATTGTAAGATGAACACGGATTGTACTAGAGGAGATTCACTGTGGAAAGACCTCCAACACCATGGAGGAGAATAATATTACCAAAGAAGCTGCAAGAACTGTGGGCAAATCCAAAAACATGACAGTAATGAATGTTAAGCAGATAAGGAACACTGTTATGTACACAGGAAAAAAAACCCATAACCTCAAAAAGAAGGTTTCTCGGAGATTTTCTCCACTAAAATGGTCAGGACTCCACTGGATAATTTGTTCCTACTTGGATGATGTCATCATGCTAGGTTTAACTGCTTTTAATAACTAGTACATTTCAGTCATCTCTCACTTTCTCCCACAGAAGATCAAATCAGCCTTTCAATGACCTACTTCATGAGTCATAATTTTTCTGTTTATGATTCAGAAAAATGTCTTCAGTCAGTATTTCCCAGACTACTGTGGGTTTATTCCAAGACCCAATTTCATCTTCATTGGTTTCCTACAGGAAACCAGACCAACTTCCTATTATTTTATTTTCCTTACTTTTAGCATACCATAGCCCACATCAAATTAACTGGAAGTGAGAGTGATAGAAGACTTTATTCCGCACAAAGAGAAGCCAACACAAACAATGCCCAGTCTACAAGTCACGGATTCAAAATTAAGTACAAAATGAGCTAATATTAGAAACTTCCTTCAAAAGAACACCAAACAATAAGACATTTATTTTAATTAATCTTGTTGCAAGCATTTCATCTCCAGAGAGAACATTTTCATTTTTAAAAATGTTGTCTATGAATACAATAAATATGACAGAGGTTATTAATACAAAGAAATTGATTATAAGGAATAAAATATGTATTTCCCAGTGTGATCCCCTAACAAGCAATTAGGAAAACAGGCAGACAACTGAAAGCCCAAATGCAGAGCCTGGACTGGTCAGAAGCAGAAGAGCACACCTCTTCTGCTATGGCAGTCAGCACCCCAGAGTCTTCATCCCATCCCTTCCCCAGGCCCACAGGTCAAGCTGTCCTAAACAGAGGTATAAAACACGGGATTTCAAAAAGCATGCTATCCATGGCTTGCACTCATACTATTTCTCTAAAATAGTATGAGTAAAGGAGAAGTACTTAGTCTTACAGACAATAAGCTGCCTGAAAAGAAGAAATTTCTGTGTGTGAGCAGTTTTGGTATAAAGGATATCAGATTCTCTTCAGGCACTTTCACTCTCACCACTCCTCACTGCAATGGAATTGTGGGCTGTAATAGCTCTTATAGTCGTTAATCAGTGAGTAACAAGACTATTTGACAATAAACTCAACAGCTGACACATTGAAGGAAGAACACCTAAAAAGAATGCATTTAAGGCACATACTCTACATGGTCAAACCAAGAAACATGAGACACTACAGCAACTCTGTTCTCAGAGTGGGCCATCCGCATCCACACATATCCTAGAAAGCCAAGTTTTCAAAGCTAACTAATGCAGGTATCACCCTAGGTCTAAGGAGTCAGAGTCTCTGGAAACCTACTGGGAATACTGATGAAAGCTTGTCTGTCGGAGTCTGTCTCCCACCAGGACACATCTAGAAAAGAACCCACCAATTTCTGTTCCTGTCTCTAACCCCACGTCTAAACCCCTGTGATCTGGCTAACTCCTTTCTGCCCCACTACAAAAATGCCCTGTTTAAAAATCACAAATTACCTCTGGTCTCACTGCCAAACCCCGTGACCTCTTCCTGGTTCTCTCCCCGCGAGACTCATCCTCGCAACTTCTCCATTGCCTCTTGTCTCCCGCTTCCTTCTAGGAAACCTACTCTCCCCCTCCCATCCTCCAACCTTCGGCATGTTCCCAAGGTTCGGTCTTCAGGCTCCTGTCCCTCTTTCTGCAGCCACTACCTGGCAACTCAAGGAATCTGGGAGGCAGGAGACATCTTTGTACTTCAACACGCATGCAAAACACGGCATAGTTTAAACTATCTTATGACCTGCATCACCTAAATGTTCAAGTAAAACACCTTACAATGGTTTCCTATGCACTGTCTGGTGCCCTGAGCACTACAGCTTTCTTTCTGCTCCGATGACCACACTGAGTGGGGCAGAAAAGTCAGCCCTACTGGGCATCCTATTGCATCCTCTTGCCTTGGCTTCTATTGCTACCATCATCATGTGATGGCTTCCTACGTCTTCACCAGTATCACAAGAAGTCTAGAAGACAGTGATCTTTAAGACCCCTGTCTGAATATAGCACTGCCCCCAGGCTGCCCAGAGGTATTCCAGGGTCCTATTCTGCCCAACCTCACATTTCTTCTCAGCATTCTTTCTGCTCAACTCATAACCCAGTGCTCATCATACTACACACATGTCCTGCATTTTCTCAATTCTAACTCTTGGCGTTATTACTTCCATTTCATCTATCCATTTCCCACTTCTCTGTAAATGCTCACCCTATACTTAAAGACCAGAACCAGAGCCAACTCTTCTTAATCCCCTCAGATGGAAGTCCTCTTTCACCCTCCACTACACACTTGAGGACTCCACGGCGGCCTCTAGCATGTGCCTCAAGTGACCCTCTACAACAGGAACCCTCCCCAGCATGAATGGATTTTATATACCTTATCCTTCACTACACCATGCATGATACCTGTATCACTTATGCACTTTACAAATACTTGCCCAAGGATTAAGTAGCCTTACAAATCAGAATTCTTAATTGAGCATCATTCCTGCCAATGAACTGACCTTTAGGAAAAACAGCCAAAGTATTAAAAAAAGAAAAAAAAACAAAAGGTAAAGTCATAAACATAGCAACTTAGAAGGAATCAACTCACTTTCCTACTCTTTCTGTTCCTTTAGATATATCACCCTAAAGGTATATCATTCCTTTAGGTTATCACCACTTTAGGATAATAACAAAACACTATTATGTTCACTGCAACTAAGGAAAATACTGTATGTTTTTTTGAACTATAAATGCGTTTTGGAGAAAGAAAAGAATCGACTGACTTGACACTAAAATGACACGGCAAAGGCTGGCTGGCTTGCTGTCTTCTCCCCACCCTCTTAAATGGAAGAATGAAGCCAGGGCCTTCACACTGAGCTGTGTCCCCAGCCCTCCTCTTTCATGAGACAGAGTCTTGCTAAATTGCTAAACTGCCCAGGCAGGGATCAAACTTGCATTTCTCCTCCTTCAGCTTCCCAGATTTCTGGGATTACAGGGGTGAACCACCACACCCAGCTAGGGGGGCTTTCCATAAATAAACTTCTAAAACTTCCTGCATCTTCCTGCTATTCTGGTTTATAGCTTTTGGAGGTGATAAGCTATCTTGATCACGAAGGAAACTTCTTAATCTTAGGGAAATTGAGTAACAGAGCACTGGTTCCAAAACACTCTGCACGGTCTGAAAGACACTCTCATCTGGTCATGAAGGGCAAGAAACAGCCAGATGAATAACAATGTAGAAGATAGACTGACTGCCTCTACTGGGGAAAAATAAAGTCTTCATTCCTGGAATGATAAAGAGTCACTGCTTCTGTGCAGTAAAGAGAGTTAATAATCTCTCAAGCACAAAATGGGAAAACACACTGAGAATCAGGTAGGAAATACTAACTACTAGAACCTAGAGACCTTGAAACTTTTTTATAGACCAAACTTTAAACTTGGTAGTAATACATCCTTACAGATTAAGAAAGGGAAAAGGGCTGAGAATATACCTCAGTGGTATAGCATATGATTACCAAAACCCAGCACCAAAAACAGGATGGGTGGCTTTCTTTCCTAGAGCAGAAGCAAGTAAGAAATATCTTTATGACTGATATGGTGTTCCTACGTTACTGGGAAATGTATTAGGCAGATTGATACTAAATTTTAAAATGTGTTACCAATTACTTGATAACACATTACAATTACAATTTCTTTTTTACACTAACAGACTCGCCAGGTATGGGGGCTCATGCCTGTAATCCCAGCACTGGGGAAGCTAAGACAGGAAGATCACTGCGAATTCAAGGCCAGCCTGGGCTACGAAGTGAGTTCAAGCCCATAGTGAGACCCTGTCTCAAAAAGACAAAAAAATACAAAATAAACTAACAGAGGCACAGAACACACTCATCTTGGCTATATTCTGTGCAAATAAGGGGTACAAAGATATATATCAAATCATTGTAAATATTTCCCCATCTTTGTTCATTAAACAGCAAAACAAGCAGTTTTAGACTGTCTTTTTAAAAAACTTAGTTATATGCTTTCATTTCTAAGTTCCATGAAGCATCGTGATTGAGTACACATCTAAACAGAACTCACATCACCCCTGGCTTCTGCTTCCACTCCCCTACGGGAGCACCAGGACCCTGGCACAAAAATCTGAGTCAAGCAGGTCCTTTGAAGCCTGGGATGAGCAACTCAGGTTTACTGCAATTCAGTCCAGAGAGAACAACTAGAAGAACGTGAGCAGAGCCCCCAAGAATCCGAGCATGTACAGTGCCTCACACTGAGCAGAAGGGCACTGAGCATGGCGTCCAGTGATTTCTACCACTCATAGGAAGTGAGTTCAATTAATTTTAACATATTAGTTTGACTCCAAAAACATTACTCTCTTAGCCTGTCATATAACCACTAATAAATATTAATTTTAAAATAAAGTCTAATGAGTTACATCTTCCAACATTTTAACAAAATGTTTCATTCACAATGTGATTCTAAATGGATAAAATACATCGAACTGTGACTCACAACTACAGTGAACAACCCAAAATAAATGAAAACTACTATTTCAATGTTAACAGTAACATTTTATTACACTATTCAATAACAAGAGATCACACCTTTAAAAAAATCAGCATTTCTATTAGGATGAGCAGCCAAGCTAATACTAACGATGGGACCAGCAGTTGTGCTACTGAACTGAGAAGTGGCAAACACAGCAAAATGCAGAGCACAGCAGGAACACAGCCAGGGAGATCGTGACGGAAACGGCTTACTTTGACATGGCTCTGGGCACCGAGGTTGTAGATCTCCGTGGGTTTCACTTCATTGATTATCTTCACAAGGCAGGTACTGTCAGTGAGATCACCATAGTGCAGCTTCATGTCTGCAGGGTTCAGAAACAAGCCATTAGACAGAGGAAAACAACAGAATCTGATCTTTTACAATATCAAAATTGAAATGTATATCATGAAAGTAAGAAAACCAGGTCAAAATGAAAATGTTGTATCTGAGGAGAACAGCAGAGTGTAACTGTCAATGTTAAAGAAACTGCAGCATAGAAAGATATTTATCTATGCTGCCTATGTCTGCAAAGGATTTGTAGTGGTAAACACAGACAAACTTGCTTAAAAACCATAATATGACATGTTTTACAATTAACCTCAGAGCTCCCAGTAGTTTTAAGATGTGTTATATAAGAGTAAGAGTGAGACAAGTAAAACCTTGGAAGAATGTGCTTACCCTCCAAAGAAATCGGGAACATACACTAAATGATAGCAAAGATGGCTCTATATTTGATACCTTTGTTCAGGTAGTTTTCTCCCAGTGATGTATAGGTACATCGTGAAGATCAATCTTTAAATTGCCTGTGATATGCCTAACGCAGCAACATTACTGATTAAAATAGAGCTAGCCCATCATCACCTCCTAGGTCCAACCATCACCTCTGAGGTCCAAGCTGCTCCTCACACTGATTGAATGAATGTAAGAATTTGAGATATACAGATGAATAATTTGCTAACTTGATCACTTCACTATTTTTATAAAATGCTAATTTATATCTAGATGCAATGGCAGTAGTGTTCTGAAATTTGCACAATAATATACAGAGTAAGTATCTCTAATCTGAAAATTCAATATTTGAAATGCTCCAAAATTTGAAACTTTTAAGACGTGCTGATATGATAAGTGGAAATTTTCACACAATGAAACTGTTTCAAATCCACAAAATTATTTAAAATATTATAAAAATTATCATTGGGTGATATATAAAGTATATGAGATACTAGTGAATTTCCTATTTGGACTTGGGTCCTATCCCCAAGACATCTCATTATATATATGCAAATATTCCAAACTCTGAAAAATCCAAAATCCAAAGAACTTCTGCTTCTAAGTATTTTGGATGAGGGATATTCAATCTACAATAATCTTAAAGAAAGATGCACTTACAAACATAGACATTAAGGTGGAGAGCCCTTCCTGTGGACAACTCAATCACTTTCCTGATATCACTACCTAAACTACCGAACTTTCAAACAGTCAGGGCTGGAGGTAGATACAAAATCACTTCTGGTTCACAAACTGACTGTACTGTCCTTGCTGGCCAGAAAACATGGCTAGGTAATGCAGGCTGACCTTGGAGTTACAAATCCCATGTCCTAGTCAAAGTTTGCCTTCTGCCTGGTATGTACCTGGTAAAGTCACAACCTCTCTCTGTCTCCATTCCCTGTGTACAAAATGGTCTCCCTAATAAGCTCAGCAGTTGCTATGGAATCAAAGGAGAAAACGCTGCATGCTAATGGGAACCACACAGATATACACAGGCAAATTTATTAGCAAAAACAACAAAATGACTGAAAATTCCAACAATGAGCTATAAAACAATATTAATATAGTTTTGATTGCCACTGGGTTTTGGACCTGTCTTCACAAATAATTTTAAAAATTAATTAAATGTGCAAAGTCCATTTAACTTGAGTATATCAGACAAAAAGTAAAAAGGAAAGGAGTTCTCCTTCAATATGGACCCGCTCTTACTTGAGGGGACAGGGACACCTGGAAAAAGATGATCAAAGGCCTATCTTCGTTTGGTTCCTCAAACCACCCACCCAATATCCTTCTAATAGAAAAACCAAGATGACACTATGGCCTAGGGCAGCAAGCAACAACAAAGATTTTCACAAAACACAGGTTGTAGTCAAGGCAGTAATTCATGGGTAAATAACCGTGACGTGATGGGCTCTAAGGAAATATGACATTTGAAAATATCCTATCTGAACATAGGAAGTTGTAGAAAGAAATTTTAGAAAAATAAAATCACTTACTTCCTTCAATATGAGCCTGGGGATTCTTATACAGATGTTCAATTCGACCTGTATTAAATGAACTGGATCGCCGTACAATTCCATGAACCTGTGTTTTATGTGTGGAAAGATAAAAGTTAATTATAAATGTACAGTGAGGGTTAATAAACAACTCAGAAGTTCTTCTGCTAATGTCTGACTTTGTGAAAAAATATAAATATTACTTATAAATACTATCTTTAAACATTAGAAATATTTCTGCTGCTTGCCGACTCTGTATCCACTGCCAGCCAGCTTCTACGACCTCACTTCCATCTTTCCCTCATGTTTTCACTGCCAATCTCAACTAAAGTAATTAGATAATTATGTAATTTCATGCTTAGTTGTAGATATTCAAATGTCTCCTTCCCCAAATACACACTTACAGCTCTACTGTTGACAAAAATATCTCTTCAATTTGAAACTGAAGACAGACCACGTGAGGCTGCATCTGTAAAACAGCTCGGCAGCCTGTTTAATGCAGAGCACAAGGCCTCCACATCCTGCCAGAGTCCTCAGAGCTCCTGTAGGCTGCATCTATTAATACGTGTATTTCTAGAACCACATATATAATCAGAGAACAGTTGCTATTATGTAGCTGTGCAGAAAAGTCAGATGCTAAATTGTATAGATTAGGAACATGATTTACCTACTACTGGATTTAAGACATATAAGAAAAGGCAAATGAAAAGAGGATTTTAAAAACTTTTCTTTTTATCTTAACTGAGTCATGATTAGTGTGAGGAAACTGGCTGGAAAGGGAATGCATACCTGCCTGATACTGAAGAAAAAACTGTTTAGGTCTGATGTATAAGAGAAATTAATCCAGGCCTGGTCCTACTTCCTTCTTGTGTCAAGATTGCTCCCTTTGTGCTGCCAATGCCAACACCAGCTTATGTCACCAGCTGCCCACATTCCAGTTCCACTGGTGGTAGTTTTAATCCTTGACTTATTTTAGAAGTGTTCTTTCTAATGTTGGGTAGGTTCATTTGCAGCTGAATACACTTCTATATTTTACCTCAATCATTTTCTGTCTATTTCAGACCAAAATTAATCCTTGGCATGAGTCAAATATTCCAAGTGCAAGAGGGAAATTATAAGCACATAAGGCTTTCTTTCAAATAGAAAGAAATGTCATCATCATTTTATATGGCATACATGAGAAACTGACTTCTGCAAAGGATACAGCACACCCACAATTAGCAATTCTGTTGGTTAGCTGCTTTGGCCAAGAGAAAAGCACTCGTCCACACTATTTTCCAAAAGAATGAAACTCAAGAAAAGTTAGTAAACATAAAAATATTTTAGGAAGGGAACACTGAAAACTTGGTTGACATTTTAGTAGGCAAATATTAAAATCTAGGAAACATTAAATTGAGATTTGACTATACACAGACATTTCTTTATTTGGATGTGTAGAAAATAACGGTAATGGTAAACTTAGAATTTATTCTACTTCAATCTAACTTTTCAATTCTTATTCAGTATTAGGGTTGAACTGCTCTACAAAATCAACTTTGTTTAATAAAAAGCAATTTCATATATAAACTTATACATGGGAAACTTGTTTTCTACCAAAGCTATTTCTGAAATATAGATTTCTCAAATACAAGTACTTTGTCTTATTTTATAGAGAGGAATTTCTATGTTCTAAAAACAATTTACCTTTGACAATGAAAATAATAATAGTATTATTATTTAAACTGTCTTCTGTTAATCACTGAATTCTGTGTAAGTCCCATTCTAACAGCCCCAGAGCGGAAAAATATATATATCATATAAACATACAAGACATCAACAAAAATATTAATGATCTTGATGGACTCTGTGCAAAAAGTTACAGCAAATCAGTAACACAGGACCTAGGGCTGGGGATATAGCTCAGCGGCGTAAGTGCCTACCTGGCAAGCACAAGGTCCTGAGTTCAATTCCAAGTGTAAAAAAAAAAAAAAAAGAAGTAACACAGGATTTCAATGTCACACTTAAATTCACTACTTTGCGGGGGGGTTCCTAATGAAAAAAAAAGTGCTTTAATTTCCCCTAACTCCCAACATTTGGAATGTATATACAGGGAAATAAAGAGCTACCAAATGCTTAATCCATGACAGCAGGTATTATTCTAAGAACTTATGAAAGCTGAGTCTGTCTGCTGTTGAGACAGGTGGAAATGCAGACTTCAAGACAAGTCAAAATGTGTGCAAACTGCGTAATCTAGTTAAGAATTTGAGATTAGCAGCTTTTTCTCTATAGAAAGGATGTAGGAAGGGCTTTTTTGTTTGTTTTTATAAGGATTTGGGGAGAAAGAAGAGATGAAGGTTTGGAAACCAGACTGAAAAGATAAATGAGTTAAATGACTTTATATAAACTTAATCAGAATCACTATTAAATTACAGCACTTCAAACAGAACATAATTCTGAAAAATTGAGATCTTAAATAAATGGATGTGGGTGTTATGACAAACAAATTTCACGTGCCAGTTAACTAAGTGATCAAGAGGAAAATTTCACATTCTTTTCATGTCTGAACAAAGTTGATTTGACTGCAAAATCTAGTGTCAGATTAGACATTATTACAATGAAATGTTTTATTATATATTATAATGAAGAAAAAAGTTCTTTAGTATGTAGATTTTTCTTGGATGCAACAATGCCTCCCAGGGATGGTTAATGCCACCCATCTTTTGAAAAATATAAATGACCTAGGTCAGTGGGATGAACCGATGGCACTCACCATAGCAGGCCATTTGTTATCACTGAAAGCTCTACAAGGTTCACCATCACGGCTCTAGGGACCATCAACATCAACAGCTAACATCTGCACATCGACAACCATATGCCAGACAATTTCTGATAGATATGAAATCACTCCGTCTTCATAGCAACCATACTACTATGAATCCCACTCTAGCTGAGAATACTGCCTGAGATCACCCAGCCAGTAAGCAGCAGTATTCAAGGGTAAATTTGCTCAATCCTGCTGGTACTCAGTACAGTTTCAACCAGAATCCATGAAAACCACGGCCTTTTTTCAAATCAAGGTACACAGGATTCTGTGTAGCCAACAACCAGAAAATAGCCAACAACCCAGGAAAGGAATATTTCAATGTTTCTCGTAGATCAAGAAAGTGTAGCAACTCAATATCCTAACAATAATCTCTCAGAGATAACTATCAATCTTTGCATCCCTGTATTTCTCCCTCTCTACTGAACCTCAAAGGAAGTGGCCATGGTTGTTTTCCTAGAAAGGAAATTCACAACGTATATATTCTTTATTTTAAATTCCAACATGCGGCTTCACTGTTTAGTTACTTAATACAAATTTTTCTTATATATCCAGATAAATGTACAGTTTTAAAGCATTCAATTTAAGTCTGTTGTTCTCTGGCTTTTCCCTGTAAACAGACAAAAGGGTACACTGCTGATGATACACTGTCACTTCTCTGCCATTAGCAGTACTAAGAAGGTACAGGACACTAGAATATGCTTCCACAAAAAGGTTCGTTTTTGTTGATTTTCCTTTATCCCTAACGGTGGGAAGGAACACACAGCTCTACTATGTGCCTGATGGCTGCATCCTGGTAGTGCTAATATGTGAGTCTGGCCAAGGAGCCGTCTATGCCATCTATGTCCACTGGCTTGTTGGCATCAGACACTGTCTCTCCATCATTCCTGCAGCAATAAGCCCCTTACACATCATCGGCTGCTCTGGCTAAGTGTTTTCCAAGTGCCATCTCACCTAATCCTCATGACCACCTCAGAAGACAGTGTGCTCATCACCTCATCTATCCACAAGGACACTAAGTCTTAGAGGAATTGAGTGACTTGTTCAAGGGAACAGAGCTAGCAACTGCAGAGGAGGATTAAGACTCAGGCCATCCAGGGCCCAAATCCCAGGGCTCCTTTGCTAAGGTGGCCTGGACTCCTGGTCCAGCTCTCTTCTGTGTGCTGGGCAACTGGGTATAAAGAAGAATGGCCCTTTGTACTTCAGCGAGGCACAGAATTAAGTATGTGAGGTATTTACAGGGTAATTTTCCATATAGCTGATAATTTGTTCTCTTCACTATGAAAGGACATCTGCAGGTATAGTAAAGAATGAACAATGCTGAATACATTTTCTTGATGTTTTCTTAATGTTTAATCCCAAGTAAAATTCAAGACAAGAAACAGTAACAACGATAATTTTGAGTTTCTCACTGAGAACTGGACCAGGGATAAATTAATACATTCAGCCTTCCATACACATAGACTTGGTATCCATGGGTTCAACCAGATTGAAAAAAAAAATTTTTAGCTGCATCTATGCTGAACATATACAGACTTTTTCTTACCATTACTCCCAGAACAATATATCTATTTATGTAGCTTTTACATGGTCTTATTTATTGTAAATAATTGGAGATATATGTCAGTCATATGTAAATTTGTTATTGGGAGGTAGCTTGGAACTGATCCCCTAAAGATACCAAGAGATGACTGTTCTTTACTTGTTCACATTAAAGAGTTTGTTCCAAACATGATCAAATATATAGATTTCAAGGGCCACATTTAAATGGTTAGGCCTCAAACCTTCAGAAGTCTAAAGATGTGTGTGGCCATACGAGGTAATTAACATTACTTATTGATCTTTTAATACATGCTATTCCTTTCAAAGCCATCCACAAACGTCTGTTTTTGCTTGAAGGCTAGCTAAACTCTTTGTTTGCTTTTTCAAGTAGAGAAGGAGCAAAGGAGTGGTTGACTGTGCTGTGCAAATTCTACACCAAGGGTTTGTTCTTGCTTACTCTGCCCTGGCACCACTACCCCACCAACCTCGCTGCCCTCCTGCAGGCCACTCCTCCAAACAGTACAGACTTCCCCACCCTCCTGATGGAGGGTTGGCCTTTCCACTACTAGCCAGTCAAAGAGTATCTGCTTCTTTCCTACAAACAGCTCAGCCTGAGCAGCAAGCCTCTTCTTCACAGAGGTTATCTGATCCCCTTTTGCACTTTGCTACCTAAAACTATGCTGTTTCCAGTTATTTCTGAGACAAATGATAGACCTGATTCAAAAGAGCTCAGAGAGGTCAGCCCTACAGATTTGTACTACCTTACACTGCCTTGTTACCCTGTGGTTAAATCATTCTACGGCCCTCACTGGAACCTTATACTGCAGCAATCCTCCCCCACCTGTCATCACAGCACATGGCCAAGCCCTGTCCTCAGGACCACAAGGACACTGCCTATTACCACCAACCTCTCTCCAGTCTCAGCCCTCTGTGCCCATGTCAAAGTAGATCTCAACACCCATGCAGCTGGAGCGCTGCTGCTGTCATACCACCTCCCTCTGCAAAACTGCGCAGCTGTTTTGACCAGGCAAAGCATGTTAGAACATATAGACCATCACTGAGCAACGAGTTCCTTCTGCTTCACTCAGGCCTCGACTACACCACTGGCAACCGGCTCCCTCTAGCAGGTCCCACACAGGTGAAATGCAGTCTACAGACGCCCTGCTGCCATTCTTTTTAATATTTATTAAAACATTATAAGGTTAGTATAGCCTGAAATTTCCTAAAACCCATATGGCTGAACTATATATGACCTACTCTAAAACTCTCCTCTCTGGAGAATATACATTTACATCTTCAATTATTATAGCAATCTACACTATAATATACTTATATGTACTTTCATAATTACTTTTGTCTTATTTTGATATTGCAAGTTAGATAAGAGTACAAAAGGTGCTACACACATACCTGTGAGTTTTTAAAGTCTGAAAGTCAAAGCTATTAGATAAGACTTTGAATTATGGTAAAAAAATTAATTTTCATTTCTTTAAATCTCATTGGTGTGTAGATACCAAAATCCTTGCTGTTGCTTTTCCATTTGTCCCAAATGCACATTTTTTATATACTATCCCTACAACTAGAATAAAGAGACAAGGCAAAGCTATTAATAAAAATGACCAGGCAAAGCAGGTTAGAACATATGGACCACTGTGTGGGTTTTTAGTGTCTGTAGGGCATGAATTTTTACACATGCATATATCTGAAAAGTGTTCTTAAAAAAGCACAGTATACACACTGAACTGCATCAAATTTAATATAAGAAAAAAACCCTGCATCTTGTTAAGGAAAGGACAAAATGTTGATGGAAAAAAGAAAAAGATGATGAAGACAACAGTGGCAACAAATCTAAAAGTTTCAGCTTCCATAAAATATATGGCTGCCCATTAGAAGGCAAAAACCTCCAGGTGTAAATTTTTCATTCAAGCTTGCCAAAGATCAGTTTGGTTTTTATTGCTCTGTGCAATTTCCGAATTAAGTGACTTCGCCGTAAGTGGAACTTTTTTGTGTAACACATTACATCATAAATTAACCCTCGTAATGTTGCAGCTTGGTTTGCAAAGGCTGCTGCTTTATCTAAAGGAGAAAGCGGGAGGCGTGCAGAGCGGCTGAGCCGCCAGGGCTCACCAGCAGATAAACAGCACAATGAGCTGGCAGGACCTCAGGCCCAGCAGTACAATCTTCCCCAGGTTCCGATTTGTTATCAGAGTTTCCATGGAAAACACACACAGGAGGACTGCAGCAGAGGAAGCACAAGGCCGTCACGTCCTGGTGATCACACTGCCCAGTACCTCACTGAGTCACTCACCTCGTAGCCTTTCTCCAGCAGGAACTCAGCCAAGTAGGAACCATCCTAGAAGAAAAGGAAAATTGGGAAGCGTCAGACCCGAAGCGGCTGGTACAGACTAGAGTAAGAAAAGGATGGAAAAACCTGCTTGAAGAAAAAATTAAGATTGGTGGCAACCAAAGTAAAAGTAACCTAGGATGACAATAAACACGTCTTCCCAGAGCATGTTTGCAACTGTAATTCATGTAAGCTCCACAGAAGACACAGTAAGATGCAGCAACCCAGGGAAGTCACAGCAGGCAACAGAAAGGACTTGGGATTAACTCTGATCCCTTACGAGTTGTATGACGTATGCACATATGTGCACAAAGCAGAATGCCCAGGTGCTGTAGGAACATCAGACCGCAATATGACAGAGGGGGCATAAAACAGGTATCTATGGGGTGCAGTGGGAGTTGTGTGGCTGGGGACAGGGAAGGTAAGTGGAGGAATAGGCAGAGTAGAAAAAAGTTAGAATTACCGAAGGTGAGCCTATCTGGGAGGACTTCCAAGTACGGCTAACCTCAAGAACGACAGAAAGTCAGAGAGGGGGCTAAAGGGTCTTAAAATGTATGTGTGTATACTCAGGAGTGGGGATGCAGTCACATCTGTATTATCACAGCATCATATGGACAAACACATACACACATGAACTTTAATAAAAATGAGGATATTAATTTTTATTAAATAGTAAATACTTCATTTGTATTAATCTTAAATCATGTAGTTAATTCCTAACTGAAGATGAAAGCATCTGATGAAAAAGTGAGAGTCTCAACTGCTTTTCAATAATTTCTGAGTAAGAGTCTCCATTACACAGTATTCTGTGCACAATTTTTAAGGGACAGTGTGTCACATTTTTAATTAAACTACTAAGAAGTGAAAAGTTGAGCAGTTGCCCTTCTAGAGACACTTTACAAAGCCAGCAGCCTCCCTTGGAACATGAGTTGGGCACATATTCTACAATGGATCCTGTACGTGCTCTTCTGCTTTCAGCCCGGTAGAGTCTCTTCTATGCCACCCACATAAACATAAAACTCTGACAACCGGAAATGTATGTCCTCAAAACTAGTTGGGGTGTTTGGCTTCCTTTGGTTTGAAAAAAACTGACAAGATCCCTTTGAGCTTCAATTCCAACCAGATATTCCAGGAAAAAGAAAAAGGAAGCAAGCCTTACTATCATGACTTGACCTAAAGCTAGTGACAAGACTGCCAAGCAATCACTCGAAACATTAATTCAGAAGTCGTGCATAAATTCAGGCCAAATGACAAGGTAGGGCAAGCAAAGGACACATTTTGTGGTTCATTAAAATCTCCAGCAGATTTTCTTCTGACTCCTTGACATAAATATTCTGGTTCACAGTCTCATGTAGAAGAGAAAGCATTTGGGCTTTTCATCCCAATCTTACAGTGTGCATGGCTCTTACATACTTACTATACTAACTAATTCAGATCATGAGGCTGACCAACACAAGCCAGGTTAGCCTTCATGACTACCTCAAATGTTCACATAATCAGTAATCCTGTAAATCAATCAATGAACAAACAGTTCAGTAGAAAAATATTTGCAATAACAATCCTAACTCAACAATAGGTTGGAAAGCCCTGGTAAGCATGAAGTTGGTGCTCTTATGTTGTTTTGAAGCAGACACCATGACACTATCCATGATTTAGAATTCTCTTGGAATAAAAACGGGAAATGCTTTGTGTTCCTCCATAGTTACATAGAATGTTAACAAAAAAAAAAAAAAAAAAAAAAAACAGAGGTGACTGTGCTAGAGATCCCTGGAGTGGGGAGATGTGTGATTATTTAGAAAGCTGATGTGAACCAGACCTGACCAGCATTGAACTCTGTCAATGAGGTCTTGTTCTTCTCACCCAGGCCACTTCTCAAACTTTCCAACCACACTGGAACATTCTGAACCAGCAGTGGCACTGGCTTCCTCCTTGCTTCCTTGCCAGGCCTGTCCAGAGATAGGGCCTAGGCTGCACAATGAGTGGGAAACAAGCCGAGCAAAGGCTTCTGGTCTCTGGCCCAGGGAGCCCAGCTGGCCTCCCTTGGGGGACCCTCGAGGAGACACAGTATCTGAGAAGGCAGATGTCCGCCAAACCAGCAGGATGGTTGTTTCCGCCTCCCCTTGAAGTGCAGGCTGATAGAGAATGCTCCAATCAGACTGATGACTGAAATGCCATACCGGCCAAAGCCTGCAGTGAACATCAAGTACCAACACTGGACCCCTCTGACACCAAGATATAGACAGACTTAAATCTCCATCTTGGTCAGTGTGAATACAATCAATCTGGTATAAATTTCAGCCTAAGACCAGAGCTTGCTATAGAAAACTTAATAGTAGAGGTAATAGCCCAACTGTGTCCCCTTTAAATTTAACTTTGCACATAGTCATTAAGGGTATCTATTTCATATTAATGGTATACTGTTTTAGGCAATCACCATGGCTTTAATACTTTCAAGACAATAATATTTTGTCTTATTCTCTGAAGAACTCAGCTAGAAAGGTAAGCAGCAATTTGACATCTCAGGTAACTGAAGCATAGGAGGTTAGCCAATTTGCCGAAAATCACACCCATGAGTTACAGAAGAAGCCAGAAGTACAATCCAAAGCTTTCATGATTTTGAACTAGGAAATAATCTCCTTCCTTATCCTCTTCCACCTGGGAGCTACCAAAACATGTCAACTTCTCCCCGCAATATAATAAAAGACCATAAAGGATTCATTTTCAAACCAAGCTGATTCAGTCATTTTCCATTACAGGGTGTTCTATGGATTAAACAGTGCTTCCAGTTTTAATCAAGTGACCCAAGCCCAGAGAAGTCATGTAATTTGAGAACACTCCAAAGCTCCAAGGAGGGAGAAAGGATAGCAAGCCTGAAATTTCCCAGGTCTTGGTTCTGGGCGCCTGCACTCCCAGGAGGTACAGTGATGTGTGGAAGTGGACTTGCCTTGGTGGGGACACATGTTGGAGGGATATGGCCCTGCTCAGGGTCCAAAAGAGCCTCGTTTTACTGTGCCTGATGTTTATCCTATTCTTTTTTTGGTGAGGAGGTGCTTTTCTTTTCATGAAATACTCAGAAATGTCCCAGTGCAAGTCACATAAAAAAGCAAAACTCTAGAATTTAACAGTCAAATTTTGACTACTACAGTAAAACTATAGAACTCCACATCCATGAAAAGCTGAAGGAAATAGAAAGGCTCCTCCTCCTCCCAATGCCCAGAGATGGCTGGAAAAGCACTCACTGGGCCTTCACACCCACCCCATCCAAACACATGTACCAGGGCAGTCACAGTCCTACAGCTGACAGAAGCCGGACTTTCTTTACCTCTGCAACATGGATGCACCTGCAGTCCACATGGACAAATGGACACAGGACTGCTCTTATACGCAAGGTGACAGCCTGACCCCTTTAAGCTACATCATGCATAATCTATGTTTAGGCACCATTTGGCAGCTTCTTTGAACAAGGTAAGATGCTAAGTAAGCAGTACTGAAGTAGAGAATCCATTCCACAAATGAAATAAATCTCTTTATTTAAATTATCTCAAGTATCAGAAAAAAGAATAACCCTTCTGCAAATAAGGAGCTGTCATTTGTACAGGCCTTCCACACTGTTTCACTCTATATATTGAAGTTACTATAAAAACACACATCATTCCAACTAATTCCAACTACAATATAAAGACATTCTGTGCCACCCCCACTAATTAAACTACAGACACTTCAATGATTAAAGAAGGATGCTGTTTTGAATCAGAATAAAACCTTTAAATCAGTGGTGGCAAATCTATGGTACACGTGCCTATAGCTGACTGTTTCCATCATAGAAAGCTCTAAAAAGCCTCCCAGCACTGCTTTAATTGATTTAACTATTAGAGTGTGAACCATCCAGGGGCACAATATATTCAAAAAATATTTACACCTGGCTCATGTTTGTAACAAATCACTGGATAAAATGTCTGTCAGACTCATAGAATTCAAAAGACCACAGGGATTCATTAATCCAACTCTCTCATTTTACAAATCCGGAAATTGAGATTCAGAACAGTTAAGTGTTTGGTGTATAGTCACATACTGAGGAAGTAGCAGAACCTGCGCATGTGTGCAGACATTCATACACACACACACACACACACACACACACACACACACAGGCATGGGAGAAACAGATCTCTGAATTCCCAGACCTAAGAATTTTGCACTAAAACTTACTGAACAAACACCTGCAATGAAGAGACTGAATTAGTGACTACTGCTATGACTCAAGTAAGACACTACATTGGGAGAGTGAAGAACAAGAACAGCGCTAGTAACGATGAATGGAGTGGTAATTAACTGAATGGCAGAAAGGAAATGAGGGCACCATCAGTAGCATGTCAAACATGCATTCCCTTCTCATACTGTCTGAAAATTATTTCCCCATCAAGGCTCACCAAACAACCAACTTTCCCTGTCTGATTTAGCACTCCTGTGTAGAGAGGAACACAGCAATCCAGCAATGTGTTAAGGTGACGATCACCATTCTGATAATAAAGGTCTGACCATGCCCTGCAGCAAAGATTCTGTTTATCCACCCTTCCCCTCCGGGCCAGGCAAAGGGCCCCCTGCTGGCAAGCGCTGCACAGGTGTCACACACAGGGAAAGGGGAGAGAGGGTAGCTCTGCCATCAACACTACACCTTCCAGAGCCTGGCAATCAGTGTGAGGCTAAAGTGGAGGTTCCAGCAGGCACCAGATATCTCATCATCCTGCATCCTGCTCTGCCAGACTCCAGCACTCCCTCAAAACACATCAGCTTCAACAGGTCAGTGTCAGTGTCATACCATGGCCAGCTAAAAGAAACAAACAAGGGAAAACTTGCACATAAAAAAAAAGGAAAGATTCATTTTTTGAAATATTTTCTCAATTTGATAGGTTAAAAATGGTATAATGGGATCTTGTCTTCTCAGTTATTGACTAGTGCAAGACTGGAGAGTTTTTTGTGTTTGTGATCTTATATAGTATTTCTGTAGG